ATTTTAGATGATCAAATTGGTGGCCGTGCACTCAATGACATGCCCGTGTAATAGAAGATAACCTTGCCATTCATGCTGGACACCAAACAGATTTAAGGGAAGCTGATTTTATTGCAGCCACACGGATGGGCCTATATATCCCAATCCTAAACATATCAGTTTTTATTTTTATTTATTTTTTTAATTTTTATGATAAGTAGCATATCTATTTTGTTTTCTGCTTGATTTATTAAGTAATTCCTTAGACATGTTTGCTATTATGGAATGCAGGTTGCAAGAATTTTGTTGTTTGCTTACATGTTTTGTCATGTGTACTTGCACTATGATCAGGTAATTCTACCTCCTGACTTACTGGTTTATTAGGGCATGAATCATGTGAACTAACAATTTCTACTGTTAGTCGGTGATAGTCTATATTTAGTCGGTAAAAAAATTTAGTCGCTAAATATTAATAAGTAATAGGAGACTAAAAATCTGTTAGTCGGGGATAGTCTATATTTTAGGCTACGAAAAATTTAATTTGATCGTTGTATACAATTATTTGCCGACAAAATTTAGTTTATAATTTAGTCTATATTTTAGTTTAGTTTAGCTGACAAAATTTAATTTAATTTAGTTTATTTGTCGTTAACAAAATTTAGTTTAGTTGTCAAAGACCATGCATATTTTTTGGGTTACTCTTTGCCGACCAAAGAATTTCGTTGCCAAATATAAGCTTTTCGTGACTAAAAAAATGTTTAGCTACATTGCCGGATGGATGTTGTGGTCCTTGCTTTATTGTTCCAGTCCCTTGATCCAATTTCATGGTGTGTTCATCTGAGCAAACCAAATGGATAGTTTTTTTTGAATTTTTTATCAGTTGTTCATAGCATTTTAGTGCACAACATTAACTCATTAATATTCTTTAATATGATGCTTGGGTTCTATTGGGAATTAAATTGTTCAATCAATTTTTAGTTTACAATTATTTTTTAAAAAAATTTAATATTATCATCTATAACTTAAGGAAATAGAGAGTCTTTGTTTGAGAAGAGAGAGGAACCGGGGGATATCAGTCGGTGAGAGAGAGACAGTTGAGAAGATTAATGTTTTACAGTCTTTGGGGGAGAGAGACTGAGGTAATAGAGAAGAGGAGAGACAGTGGGTGAGAAAATTGAGAGATTGTAATTTGGGAGAAGTGCAATTTATCTTGGGAAGATTTTTTTTATTAAAAATATAAAAAATGCTACATATTCTTAAACAGAGAGTCTTTGTTTGAGAAGAGAGAGGAACCGGGGGATATCAGTTGGTGAGAGAGAGAGACAGTTGAGAAGATTAATGTTTTACAGTCTTTGGGAGAGAGAGACTGAGGTAATAGAGAAGAGGAGAGACAGTGGGTGAGAAAATTGAGAGATTGTAATTTGGGAGAAGTGCAATTTATCTTGGGAAGATTTTTTTTATTAAAAATATAAAAAATGCTACATATTCTTAAAAAAATACAACTTTATAACTCACTCACCTATAATTGGTCCAGGAAGGAAATAAAAACAATAAAAATATATGATTGGTTTATATCATTTTGGGAGTCATGGAGGTTTCTAATTTTGGGGGTTCCTCAAATTTATTTGGGTTACTAATAAATTGGTATTTCATTTGAGTTTCATGTCTTCATTTAGAAATTTTTCTCCTTTCGGTGAATTCATTACCTACTCTTTGAAAAGAAAAGAAAAAAAAACAAAAAACAATAAATTTGAATGCATTCTTCTCTAATTTTGATTTATATTTTAATCTCATTAATTGTATCGTGCCTTCAGGCACGGGCATACGCTAGTATATATATATAGAAGTATATGTCCAAAAGAATATATAATCATTTTAAATTTTATAAGATAGTTGTTAACAAGATTTTTTTTAAAAAAAAAATTATTTCTATAATATTTGTTTTTTTAAATTTTTTGGTACTCAAAGGATTTCTTGCATATGACAAGGTTTGTTTGGTTTTGCAAAGGGATGTTAAAAATATCGATGGTGAATGTCATTTGCTTGTTTGGTTTTGTTTTTAAACATTGTTTTTAACTTTTCGATTTTGTGTATTTTTTTTTGTCTTTATTATTTTTTTTTCTTCATATCATAGTTATTTTAAAAAGAAATTTACATGTACCTAAGAAGTAAATGCTTATAACTAAAAAAAAAAAAAAAATCATTAAAGATAAAAAAAAAAAGTTTTTGAAGTTGAAAACAAAATTCGAAAAAAAGGTGATTAAATAATGGTGGTTGGTAATTGAAAAATTGGGAGGTAGAATGATGGATTAATTGTACTAAAAATAATAATAGCTATCTATATAGCTAGTCAAAAGGCATATACAACTCTCTTTTCAAGTTGTTAAGCTATCTAGAGTATATCAGTCTTTTTAGTCTTGTTTGTTTTCAGAGATAAAATGAAGAAATTGATAGTGAAATAAAGATAAAATAAAAGAGATTAATAGTGAGGGGATTGATAATGAAGGGATTAAGTAAAATTATATTTGTTTTGATGATAGTTGTTAGTGTAGGAATTGTTAAATTATTTTTATATAAAATAATAAAACAAATAAAAAAATACAAAAACATTAAACATTAATGTTTCAAAAAAAATACCTAACATGTAAAAAATTTTAAAAAATAAAAATAAAATAAAATAATTTCAAAAAAAATAAAATAAATAAAATAATGATTTTTACTTAACAAAAAATATAAAAAATTGAACATTAATGTTAAAAAAATGCCCGACATGTAAAAAATAAAATAAAATAAAATAAAATTTCTAGTCCGCCGGACTATTTTTCTAATATCAAATCCTGGAGGCCCATTCAAATCCCATCTGCAAGGCCTATTCTAAGCCCTTCGACTTGGCAATCCCTTTCTCAACTTTGTAAACAAACAACACATTAAATAGGACCCACAACTATCCTAATCCCAATTCCCCTCTCATACCCCAAAACAAATGGAGCCTTATATAGTTAGAGTATCTCTAGCAAACAAGTTAAAAGAACTACTAAAGTTAAAATATACTTATAGTTTCAAAACATGCCGTTCCAATTGTTTATTAAAGCTCCTGTCAAATTATAGCTTTGCTATATCTTGCGTCAAATTTGACACAAATTTTACCTATAACTAAAATTATGCTGAGAGAGAGAGAAAGAGAGCCACCACTGCCTGAACAATTGGGCTTGCATTCTAGCGTGCTTGTCAAATGGAGAAAAGTTGGTTAAGTTAAACAATAGGCTTGTTTGGTAGAGCTTATAAGCTGCTTGTTTTAGCTTTTAGCTTAATTTAAGCTAAAATATTGTCTTTGGTGTAACTAAAGTTACCCAGCTTATAATTTAAATTCAACTATTTCTCAGCTTATCTCAAAAGCTGGTCAGAATGTGCTTAAATTTTCGACTTAAGTGCGCAGTTGGTGTGGGGAGCTAAAATTACTTAAATGCCCTTGTCAATACCCAGATATTAATATTAATTAAAAAAGAAAAAATTGTATATTTCTGAAGAAAAAGAAAAAAATCAATATTAATTAAAAAATAAATATTAATTGGTATTAATTATTAATAAATTCATATTGTATATTTTTATATTAATTAAAAAATAAAAAATTGTATATTTCTGAAGAAAAAGAAAAAAATCAATATTAATTAAAAAATAAATATTAATTGGTATTAATTATTAATAAATTCATATTGTATATTTTTACATTAATTAAAAAATAAAAAATTGTATATTTCTGAAGAAAAAGAAAAAAATCAATATTAATTAAAAAATAAATATTAATTGGTATTAATTATTAATAAATTCATATTGTATATTTTTACATTAATTAAAAAATAAAAAATTGTATATTTCTGAAGAAAAAGAAAAAAATCAATATTAATTAAAAAATAAATATTAATTGGTATTAATTATTAATAAATTCATATTGTATATTTTTATTTACAGCTTATTAACCAAACACTACTCTACTGCTTAAACCCATAATCCCACAGCTGCATCAAACAGATTAATAACTTATGTTCACAGCTATAAGCCATAATTTGTTAAGTTATAATCTATAATCACTTTTCCAGAGCTCTATCAAACGGGGCCAATATAACAATTTCACTGTTGGAGCAACATTATTATCCTATAATTATTTTACATTGTTCAATGTTAAATTATAATCTTAACTATTTATTTTACTTATTCACCATTGGAGTTGCTCTTATGTAAAGACTCTATTTTAATGTTCAATGTTTTAAGAATTTAATTTGTGAGTTATTTTTTTGCATCCTCTTATAAAACACATATTTGATCTCTAATCTAGGCTAACTATTCCTCTTGTCCTTGATATTTTATACACTACGATATATCCCTTCTTAATAAATAAATTTTTATTTTTGTAAAAAAAATATTCAAAAGGCATCTAAAATATGAACCAACTACAAGTTAATTTGGATAGTTACATTATTGGCATTGCCTTGTATTTTCTGACTTCTTAAAGCAACTGTAAACAAGGGTAGTGCACTGTCTAGTAAGTTCTAATTTTGGTACATATTTTAGATAAGCACAATTTGGTGTTGGGGCATCAGACAAGTAATCCAACTCTTGTGCGGGACCTTATAAAGCGGATACAAGGGATCAATAGACACTGACTGATCCACTGTACAAGCACTTAAAATTTAAATCACAGTTGAAGCCGTTTCTAACACTACTTTTTTTTTTTAGAAAGGCGTTTCTAACACTACTTGATTTAGAAGAGATGGTGGAAGTCGAGCACACAGAGATCAAAACATTTAGTTTTGTGAGACATTTTATATATTTGGGCATCGGGTGGGAATTAAGAATCTTGAAATAATTTTACTAGGAACACAAAAATAATATAAAATACTCATAGGTCAATAAAAATGACACAGAAAAACAAGAATAGACACTTGTGAGTATTTCGTGTCATGTATATGATACGATCTTTTTGTCCTTGTTTTTTCGAACTTGAAATGAGAATTGGAAGACCATAAAAATAAGTATAATCATCAATTATAATAGATTGACCTGTCAATTTCATACATTGCTGTTGATATAGGCATTCAAATGGCCATTGTTGAACCATATTCACAGGCCACTTGGCTATTCCTGTGTTTAAACATCATATTCAAGTTTCATTTTCCTTTCCTGTGTCATATCTTTCTCAGTTGCCAAACAGCACATAATTGCTCCATTTTACAAATTGGGTTTTTGACATCCGACGAAGATTGAATTGAATCATCCAAAATGGCTCATAATGTTCTGATATTTCATTTGGGTTATCTCTCCTCCATTTGCATCCATATGTGCATTACATAAGCCTGCACTTCAAAAAAATTGCTCCTGGGAAAAAAAAAAAAGTTGTTTTGAACCCTTTACAAGCTCTTATTTTTTATTTTTATTTTTTTGTTTTTTTGTTTTTTGTTTTGTTTTGTTTTGTTTTCCCTCCTCTCTCGATACAAAAGCTATGGTTTGTAACAAGGCTAAGCTTGTCATTAAGAACCTATTTGCAAGGTGGTGGAATTTGTATGCCACTATAGCCGACACGTGCATTGGTGCACGTAGAAGTTGGTCGTACATTGTTGGGGCCGTTGAACCTCAAATTGATGTTTTGAAATCGCAAATTTTCACAAGGAGCCAACGTGCTGCACATAAGATTGACTCCGACCTCCGATTGAGTTGTTCCCCCAATGTTTTGGTAAATAATATCGCTTATCTTTACTCGTGATGGCTGCACAAAATTGAAACAAAATTTAATTTGCCTTTTTTAGACATGATCATTAAGTAATGGAGGATTTTGCACCCAAAAAAAAAAAATCTTTAGAATGATTATGAAGATTAATTACAAACCTTGGCACTAGATTTACCACCGTAGCCTTGGTCGATGATGATGGGGTTCTTAACATTTTTCATGACAATATTGGTGAATAGCATGCCCGAAGCTTTACTTGGATCCGACCCTGGCCATGTTTTAATTCTAATACCATTTGTCGTGTCTGTCAAGGAACAATTTTTGACGATGAGGCCTCTCACGTCCATTTCTTGTGGTAACTTGCCGAGGCTTCCCACACTGTTGTAGACATGAAAATTAAGGCACAATATTTCGGATTGTGTAACTAAGCAAGTGGTCTTGGGACAATTGTGTGATTAAAACTTGAAAGAATGCAACTTTTAGAATGACTTAGTTGAATAGCTTTTCGGTACAATAAGGATTCATTGGCAATTTCAAAAGGTTTCTCGTTTCAAGTTGCTTATGAAAATACAACAATTTTAGGTATCATGAAAAACTTTTCAAGAAAATAATCATGAAAGTTTTGTGACCCTTGGATTACACTTAAAATAAAGCACCATACACTAATTAAGGTAATCCAAGAATCATAACTCTTTTATGATCATTTTCATGAAATTTTTTCATAATTCCTAATTTTTCTCATGAAAATATTGCAGTCCAATTGTTTCAAAAGGCAATACAATCATACAAAGAAAAAAAATTTGGTTGAAGAAGTACCTAATGCCATGTCCAGGGCCACATTTTATTCTGTTCAAAGTGACATCGGTTGCTCCTTGCCCTATAGAGATGCAATCATCACCAGTGCCGATCGTACTTCTTGAAACTTTCACCATTTGAGACCTACTTATGTGGATTCCATCAGTGTTCGGGCTATCTGCAGGGGCAGTAAGGGTAAGGGCTTGTGCCCTGATATTGTTGCAATTGGTAATATGCATGTGAAATCCCATGCTGTTTACTAAATGGAGTCCGCGGATTTTGCCATTCTGGACATTATTGATGTATAGACTCTGTGCACAAGCAAAAAAAATGAAAAAAAAAGAATGAAAATCACAGTGCTCAAACACGATTCTCAAACACCATTCTCAAATTAAAAGAAGAGCTGATGGAAAAGCATGCCAGGAGGGTTATTTAGAAGCTTACGGCTGCAAGATGAGCGCAATCAGGGTTACTCTTACAGTCGTTGTACTTCCAGACATTTTGACCTTGTCCATCGATGATACCATCACCGGTGATCATAAGGCCATTTACCCGGTTAAACGAAATCCAACCCTTGTCGGGATAATTAGAAAGATCTGAGTCTGCTTTTATAGTTCCGAAAATTTGAAATATCAGAGGAGATGTAGATGGATTTTTGCATGGCCCTGAGAATATCAGTTCCGTGACTTTGAAAATCCCCTTGGGGACAACTACTCTTGCATACCCATTCACACCACATGCTGCAACCCATGCTTGCATGAAAGCCTACAAGTAGGGGAAAATTCAACCCATCATTTGGTGTTTTTTATAAGTAAACTTTGTCAAACCAGCAATGCCAGGTATAATGAAAAATCTTTCATGAAAATAATCATGAAAGCGTTGTGACCTTTGGATTACACTTAGAATAAAATACCACACACTAATTAAGGTAATCCAAAGATCATAACTCTTTCATGATTATTTTCATGATCCCAAACTTTTCTCTTGTCCAATAAAAGTACCGAACTATGAAGATATAAACACAGAAAACTGCATACTGCATGCAGTGTTTTTATTAGAATGAATGTATTAGAAATCTGGACCAATCATTGTTTAATACTATAATTTGTTATGCGGTCATTTTAACGTATTTTCTTATTTAGTATAATTTATATAAACAAAAAAATACCTCTATGGTTTTATAATTGCAAAAACAACAAAAAGAGATTTACACATTAAATCAATAGACTATTACTTAGAACCTTTGGGAATGTAGACCATTATACATTCATTGTAGAACTACTCAGACAAAAGGGACAACAAATTATTATTATTTTTTTTGAAAAACAAAGCGGAGGCACGGCCTCCCTTGACCCGTCGCTAACTTTGTTCATGGCTATTGTCAGCACTATATTTTGTGTATTTTTTAAATTTGTCTTTAACATCCTTATAGCCGGTCAAATTGAAATAAACGTATACCCAACTTGAATCGATATAAGATTACAATATACATTTAAACAATTTTTATTTTTTTAAAGAAACAAACTTTTGCAACGAAGCTAAAATTCACCTGGGTACAATCTTGAACTCCATTAGGTTTGGCCCCAAATTGCATCACATTAAAAAATTTCTCACCAACACGGGCAGCACGTGTGCGAGGGCCGCCTAGCCGGCCGGCCTCACAAGACGAGGCTAGAGCTAAACACAATACAACAAACGCAACCATGGCCTTGCCACCACATCTTCTTGTGCTGGAGGCCATTGTTGCAACCCTGAAAACTAGGTTGCAAAAATTTTGTCGCGATTTTAAACACCGTGCTAGCTCTCTCCTCCAACCCGGCCTTTATTTTCAGTTCAATTTTATTCTTATTTTTTGCTTGGAACTCTCTTTTCATGCACCCTTTTTTTTATAGATGTTTTCAAGTTGAAAAAATTAACACAATTTTCTCTCACTAATGTTGTGTTTGGGGCTGCTCTGATTCTTCGGAGAATGTTGGGTTGAGTACCGTTGGTTTGCGTTTTTTTTGTTGGGCTAAATTCTGGGGTTGGTGTTTTAATTTGACATGGCATAGTTTAAAGCCATTGGTTGCTTTTGTTTTCTTCCCATATATATGGCCTCTCAATTTAGCCTCCAAATTGATGGGTAATTATTTAGTTGTCCCGGAACTTTACGTTAATTCAAAAATTTTAAAGTTGTGTTTGGATCATTTAGATAGTAATTTGGGTAGAAAAAAAAAAAAGTGAAGAAAATATGAATGAAATATAAGTTGTTTATTTATTTATTTCTCTCGCATTTTTCTTCTTCTTTCAATTTTCTATCAAAATTTATGATTCAAACATAATCTAAGAGTAGAACATACTGAATTACCTTTGTTAGGTAGTTAGAAAACAAATGATAATCCATTTAGTGTGTTACAGTTTCTCATTAATTACGAGTGTTACGTAAATAATGTCACATGATACTCTGAGAGTCTGTATTGTGAATTGGTGATATTGTAATGATATACCACAAAACAAGACTCACAATAGGGAGTGCTATGATTTGGATGGACTACCTCGGGTCTTTTTCCAGGATTCAAACTTTTCATATTATAAGGTTCATTCATATAAAAAAATTAAATTGATTAGATATTAATAGTCATATCATTACGTCATATTATATTTATTTTTTTGAAAAAATGAATGACAAATGTTACATCGGTAACCATTTTCGATTAACTTGATTTTTGTATTGACAATTTTTGACCCTACAAAGTGAACGATGTAAATCATAAAAATACAAAGTGAGCCCCACATACGGGCACAAGATTCCTCAATATGCCCTAAGACGGAAAATCATTATATAGTTCCTGCGTACAATACAACATTATTTCTATGACATTCTTGACAAATAGAAAATTACAGCCCATATTAAATTAAGTAAAAAAATTTACTACATAATCGATTTTTAACACCACAAAAAATTAAAAAAAAAATGACTCTTCTGCTAATCAAGGCTGTTTTGAAGGAGGGTAATTTGGCCAACCTCAGAGGTGTGACTCATCAGCCAGTAAAATGGAAAGACAGTTTTCCTATTTCTTCTACCATTTTTTTAGTAAAATAGTTTTTGGCAACAACGCAATGTCTATAGAAAAAATTTACTGAAAAATGCACCTAATAATCAATGTGTGGTCCATATGTTTCTGAATTAGAAGTGGGCATGAACTATATCTCTAATTTATAATTAGATCTGATAATTATGATAGCTATTTGAATTATTTAGAGAGTGTGGGGATATATTTTCTGAATACCAACACGTGGCATGGTGACGCCAACGTGTCAGCCTATGTGCCACGTGTCGTCATAGTTAAGCCGAGATAATCTCGGAGTTGCCGAGGTTATCCCCGAAGAAATCGGAATCCGAGATAAGCAGATAAGGGACAAGAGTCCTAAGACAAAGAGGGGACTTAACCAAGATAAAACTCTTAAGGGAGTTTATCTTTATCTCTCAAAGAGTCCAAAGTAAGCACTAAATTGGAGTTCATAGAAGTCATACTTCTAGTGGGACTTGGGTTAAGTATATTATAAAAGAGAGGCACCCCCGTGGGTCTAAGGTATGCAATTTATGTTTTGAGTATTAAGTTTTGTATTTGATTATCTTTGAGAGATATACTGACTTGATCGTCGGAGTGCCCCCGGGTGGAAGAACCACCGCCGGAGCCTTTTCTTTCTGTTTCAGGTTGCTGAATCCATCTATTCTGCCTGTGCTCTCCAATTGATCACTAAGCAGGCAATGTGGTCAGATTTTCACTCACACAATTTGGCGCCGTCTGTGGGAACGAAGGAACAATAGATGGCCAGTAACGGACAGCAGGAAAATATTGGGGATGATGCTCCCACTGGGAGTGGCAGACCAATTGACCTTGACATTGAAGGAGACAACCACAATACAGAAGCCCGTGACCAGGGTCACAGAGAGAACGACGTCATCC